TCACTCAGCTAAGTATGTGTGAATGGAAGCTTTATTATGGTAATGTCTTTAAATCTTTGAGTTACATGCTAAGCATTCCATAACTCAGTATTATTAAACATTATGATCTCTTTGAATTCTGGAAAAGCAAAGAATTGAAAACTACCTAACCTGGAAAGGATTTGTTAGTCATTAGATAATTCAGTTTGTTTAGGGGTTTGCTTTTGTTTCACAGATGTGTGATATTTTCTTTCATCCGTATGAGGAAAATGACATATTTCTTTTTAAAAGTCTCCTATTTGCTGTATCAACATTGTTTCAGTGGGTGACATTTATTCTCTTTGAACATGATGCCTTTCTTTTTTGGTAGTAGTTTTCCTCAGTTATTTGGCAATACTTGAGATTCCCTGTGATAACATGACTGTTTTCTACCACCTGCCTCTGGCAGGGGTGTGACAGTGCTGCCAGGTGTGGTGTGGGGCTCCCCCGCAAGTCCTCTGGGTATCACCATTCACCTGTTGGCTTCCTCTTGTGCCAAAGCATTCAGTCTCTGTTCCCATCTTGGGTTTGGCACAAAGGTGACTATTGTGGGGTGAGGGAAGGAAAGCATGGGGGAGGTGGGGACTGACCTGACAGCTTTTAACTGAGTCCCATCATCGCTGCTGTCTCTAAGCCTGGAGTACCTTGGAGTCCTGTTTTCCTATGCCTTCTTTGGGCTGGGGTTTCTCCTTAGTGTGGTCTATCTGCTTCATTTTCTTGGATATTCCTTGTAATTTCTGTTCCACTGCGGGGGGTACCCTTCTTGATTTCTAGATCTTTTATTACTTAATTTTTTTAGCAGTCTTTCCTGCTGCTTCTAACTGCTTGTGATAGTATGTTGAAGCTGGCCTGTGTGCTTCAGTTGGCTATCTATCCACTATTTAAGGTGCTCAGTTAAAACAGGACTTTACCAGTGGTGTTTGGTATATTTTTTTCTGATTATTTATGTGTGTTGTATGTCTTTTTGTGAACTACATACCTAAAATGGATTCCTTTTTTTTTAACATCTTTATTGGAGTATAATTGCTTTACAATATTGTGTTAGTTTCTGCTGTATAACAAAGTGAATCAGCTATATGCATACGTATATCCCCATAACCCCTCCCTCTTGCGTCTCCCTCTCACCCTCCTTATCCCACCCCTCTAGGTGGTTGCACAGCACCGGGCTGATCTCCCTGTGCTGTGCAGCTGCTTTCCACTAGCTATCTGTCTTATATTGGGTAGTGTATGTATGTCATTGTTACTCTATCACTTTGTCCCAGCTTACCCTTCCCCCTCCCCGTGTCTTCAAGTCCATTCTCTACCTCTGCATCTTTATTCCTGTCCTGCCCCTAGGTTCATCAGAACCTTTTTTTTTTTTTAGATTCCATATATGGGTGTTAGCATATGGTATTTGTTTTTCTCTTTTTGACTTACTTCACTCTGTATGACAGACCCTAGGTCCATCCACCTCACTACAAATAACTCATTTTCGTTTCTTTTTATGGCTGAGTAATATTCCATTGTATATACGTGCCACATCTTCTTTATCTGTTCATCTGTTGATGGACACTTAGGTTGCTTCCATCTCCTGGCTATTGTAAGTAGAGCTTCAATGAACATTGTGGTACATGACTCTTTTTGAATTATGGTTCTCTCAGGGTATATGCCCAGTAGTAAGATTGCTGGGTCATATGGTAGTTCTATTTTTCATTTTTCAAGGAACGTCCATACTGTTCTCCGTAGTGGCTGTATCAATTTACATTCCCACCAACAGTGCAAGAGGGTTCCCTTTTCTCCACACCCTCTCCAGCACCTAAACTGGATTCTTGAGTTAAGCTGGTATTTCAAAATTTGATAGACTGCCAGATTTTCTCATAAAAAAGTTGTTTCAATTTATATTCCTCCAGTGGAGTATGAGAGTACCCATTTTCCTACACCTTTGCCAACACAGGCTATTATCAAATTTTAAAAAAGATTTTATCAGTCTCATGGCCAGAAGACGGTATCATTTCTGTAATTCGCATTTTCCTATAGTCTGCATTTTATTTTATTTTTTTGCAATTTGCCTTTTCATCTGAGGCAGTGTTTTGAAAATACGCATTCTTTCTTGAGCTAGGAAGAATAAATTTTATAAGCTTACTGTGTGAGGGTAAAAGGGAATTTATTTATGCCAAATATGTTCTAGCTCATACTTGTTCTATCTCTCTGGATAAGTAAAACAATATGTGCAGCCCTAGCATGGTGCATACTGGGTATTTAATAAAAGTCTGTTATCTTTCATTCTTTTATTTTCCTTGTCTTCTTCCAGTTAGTTGATATTTTCTTTTCAGTCTGCCTTGTTCTTTTAGGTTGTTCTCTTTAGTTGTTCCTCTGTTACCTGAGATTACAGAATGAATGATCTTTTCAATGAGTTTATATGAAAGATTTCTCCCTTGGATTTGTGGGACCCAGAAGCTTGGACATTGTAGTTTGCTGTCTTCCAAAGTAAAATCTTGCATTTTATATTTTAGTAGCATATGTTCTAGATTTTTACTTGTCTTATGAAAAATATGTCTGTGAGGTTTTTTTTTTCCTACTAATCTTAGGGAACTAAGCATTATTTGACTTAGTTCCCTAATCTTTTAAATTATTTATTTATTTATTTATTTATTTTTGGCAGCATTGGGTCTTTGTTGCTGTGTGCGGGCTTTCTCTAGTTGCAGAGAGTGGGGGCTACTCTTCGTTGCAGTGCATAGGCTTCTCATCGTGGTGGCTTTTCTTGTTGTGGAGCATGGGCTCTAGGCACGCGGGCTTCAGTAGTTGTGGCTTGCGGGCTCTAGAAGCACAGGCTCAGTAGTTGTGGCGCACAGGCTTAGTTGCTCCACGGCATGTGGGCTCTTCCCTTACCAGAGCTCGAACCCATGTCCCCTGCATTGGCAGGCGGATTCTTAACCACCATGCCACCAGGGAAATCCCTGTGAGGTTGTTAAGTAAGAGTGATTTGTAGGAACCTCTTGGGTTGGCAGGCTGACTGCAGAGCTAGGCAGGTTGCTGAAATGTTAGATATCGTCAGAGCCTTTCAGAAAAGGTTGTATGTCCTCAAATTGATCTATACAGTCAGTGCAGTCAAGATCCCATCAGGATTTTTTTGTATAAATCAACAACTGATTCTAAAACTTATATGGAAAAGCAAAGACACTAAAATATAACCAAGACAGTTTTGGAAAAGACCTAATTTGCATGACTTGTGTGACATCATTTCAAGACTTTATACAAATACAGTAATCCAGACATTGTGGTACTGGCAAAATGGATGGATTTATAGTTTGGTGGAACAGGAGAGTCCAGAAACAGACCTACATGTAATACGGTCAGTTGATTTTCAAGAAAGGTGCAAAGGAATCAGTGGAGTAAAGGAACAATTAGATGTCAATGTACAAAAATATGAACATAGACCCATATCTTATACCATGTAAAAAATTTAACTCCAAATGTATCATAGACCTCAGTGGGAAACCTAAATAAAAACTATAAAACTTCTAGAGGAAAACGTAGGAGAAAATCCTGTGACCTTGGGTTAGGCAGAAATTTCTTAGATATCCCACCAAAAGCATGAAGCATGAAGGAAAAAATGATAAATTAGATTTTATCAAAATCTAAAGCTTTTGCTGTTCAAAAGACAGTTAAGAAAACAAAAATACATTTCTTGGATGTATTTTCTTGGAAGATACATTTATGGGAGAAAATATTTGCAAAACTCATCTGATAAGGGTTGGTATTCAGAACAATAAAGAATCTTCAGGGCTTCCCTGGTGGCGCAGTGGTTGAGAGTCCACCTGCCGATGCAGGGGACGTGGGCTCGTGCCCCGGTCCGGGAAGATCCCACATACCGCGGAGCGGCTGGGCCCGTGAGCCATGGCCGCTGAGCCTGCGCGTCCGGAGCCTGTTCTCCGCAACGGGAGAGGCCACAACAGTGAGAGGCCTGCATA